TGTCTTCATAATTTGTTAAGACAAATGAATTAGAGACAAATTATTCCTTTGTCAGGTTGTGCATATGCATGTTAGTTGGTTAAGGCGTTAAACTTTAAACATATTCAGGACATTTCATTACCCTTCTGTATATTTCTACCAGAAAGCACCACTGAGTCAGAAGATGAGAATGAAAGAGTAGATGGGGCTGAGGAGGATACAGATGAAGAAGACAATGCCTTTTTTGACACCAGAGATTTTCTTTCTTCTAGTTCCTTTAGAAGTAGCGGGTCCGACTTTAGGACGTTATCACTATCATCTGATGACGATGAGCATTATTCTTTTGAAGATGAGGAAGATATTGATCCTGCCATTAGATCTGTTGGAATGAACTTTCCTCGCATTAAGCGTCGCAAAAAATTACCTGATCCTGTTGAGAAAGAGAAAGGAGTGAGTTTATGGTCGATGATTAAAGACAATATTGGGAAGGATCTTTCCAAAGTATGTCTCCCGGTTTACTTCAATGAACCGCTCTCTTCACTGCAGAAATGTTTTGAAGATGTGGAATATTCATATCTGATTGATCGGGCCTATGAATGGGGAAAGAAGGTATGCCTATGTTAAGTATGCTTGTTCAGTATTTGGCGGCACTTGCATTGACAATGATGACGTCTTGATGAATTTATGTTTCCTTTAAATGGCGATTCATTTAATTTGGGAAACTGGGCATCCAGTTTGGTTCACCAAATCTTAAAAATAAGTTTATATTTACATTTTTCACAATGTGCAATTGTGGATGTGATCTGCAGCCTCCTTATAGCTAAACCCCCGCCAAATATATAATCAACTGCAAAAATACTTAGCTGAAAATCTCAGGATTTTAATCGAAGAAAATTCATTTGAAGGAACAGAGCAGACATCAATCCATTATTTTTGTTTGACTTCAAGTTTCGATACCACATGTCAAATACTTGTTTGGTAACTTAAATTGTTCTGGCTTACGTTTTTGCTCCAATCTGTTGGTGTTCAGGACCTATTTTTATTGAATTTATTTGCTTATTTTCATATGGGTTCCACAGGGTTGCTTCTCTTTTTCAAGGTCCATCAGTCTTCTGGAATATGACAACTGATCACCGAGTGATAATTTACTTGTGAAATTATAACCTGCAACAATATCCAGATTTTCAACACGATGCTTTTATTTAATTTATGACCATTTAGCAGCTGATACGACCTAATAAATTCTTTCCAGGGTAACAGCCTTATGCGGATGCTAAATGTAGCTGCATTTGCGGCATCTGGATATGCTTCAACAGATGGAAGAATATGCAAACCTTTCAATCCATTGTTAGGGGAGACTTATGAAGCTGATTACCCAGATAAAGGCGTCCGATTTTTCTCAGAGAAGGTGTTAATTCATTTCCTGTAGCAAACTCTTTGAGTTTCTCTTATCACGTTTCACATTTTGGTTACTATATCAGTGCGCCCTGGCAAGTTACTACAAAAAGGAGATCTTCGAGTTATTACAATTATATACTTAGTATACAAAAAAATTATGACATGGATATGAAATAGAAGAAAATCAGAAATTGAAAAAACTTCCTTTTTTTTTGTTTATTTCTTTCCATTTCAGTTAACAATTTATGCCAAATGATTTATTTCTTGCCTTTTAGATGAGCTGCTGTGGCTGATGCACTAACTGTTAAATGCCACCCAAATATCTTGGCTTGATATTTATTTGGCAAACATTATCTGTCGTAAAATTAAAAAAATACTCCATGTTCCTATCATGTCGTATTTTCACTAATTCCACTGTTAACTTACGTTGAAACATGTCAAATTGGCTCATTCGAGTATTGTAGATTAAGAAGAAAAAGAAGTACTCACACTGCGAACTAACAAAGGGGAATAAAAAAAAACTGGATGAAGGAATATTATTTTCTACGAATAGACTAAGTGGCCAATGTTGTTTTTCTTTGTGTCAGGTTAGTCATCACCCTATGATTGTAGCATGTCATTGTGAGGGTAGAGGCTGGAGGTTTTATGGTGACAGCAATCTCAAAAGCAAATTTTGGGGACGATCCATTCAGCTCGATCCAGTTGGCGTATTAACTATTGAATTTGATGATGGAGAAATCTTCCAATGGAGCAAGGTATTACAGCAAATACTGGGAAATTTTCTTCTCTTCGATTTGGTGAAGAAACTTATACCTCTTTATGACAGGTGACAACATCTATTTACAATCTAATTCTTGGTAAGCTTTATTGCGACCATTATGGTACAATGCGGATACAAGGAAACCGTGACTACTCGTGCAAATTGAAATTCAAGGAGCAGTCTATCATAGACAGGAATCCTCATCAAGTAATATTCTTGTTCTGCATTATCTATGTATACCTATATAAGGTTGATGAATTCATATCTTATTGAACCAAATAATTGAAACGGGAAAAATATGAATGTCTTGTTATACATCATTTAAATTTCAAATGTTGGTTATTTTCTGAAGCACAGAATATTTTGTGAATCTACTCGTGTTAATAATGCTGAAAGTGTTCTGATTTATGAATTTACCCTTTGTTTTTTATGGTTTATGTAACTGAAGTTATATATATACTCGGTTCTTAGAATTGATTTAGTTCATATTAGGTTTACTTGTGTCTTAGAATATCACTTGTGAGTCGTCCTACATTGATTTGATAAGGTAAATGAGCCTAGTTTATAAGCCTAGTGGACATCACCAGTTGGTTTTGGGATGGAACCTCACTGTGGTACACTTAGGCTCACCCTCTTATGGTGTCACCTGTGTGGGCACCCCTGATTCCCCGATTATCAAAATTTGACAACGAGTTCAAAACAATTTACTTCTTTTTATCTTTGAGTCATGACTTCGCTCACCCTCTTATGGTGCCACCTGTGTGGGACTGCACCCCTGATTCCCCGATTATCGAAATTTGACAAAAAGTTCAAAACAATTTACTTCTTTTTATCTTTGAGTCATGATTTCTTATATTATTTTACGCGTTTGGAGTATTTACTTGCTCGTAATAACACGCTGTTGAAATTGCAGGTGCAGGGAGTTGTCGAGGACAAGAGTGGAAAAACAGTGGCAACTTTGTTCGGAAAATGGGACGAGAGCATGCATTACGTAAATGGAGATTACTCCTCCAAAGGGAAAGGGCAACAGTCCATGGCGGAAGCTCACTTGCTCTGGAAACGTAGCCATCCTCCTAAGTTCCCGACACGTTACAACTTAACTCGGTTTGCCATCACAATGAATGAGTTTACTCCTGGACTGAAGGTGAAGATTTAGATGTATTACTGCTCTTTTTTGTGAAGTGCGGTGCTGTTAAATTAAACGAGCTTGGTTCAGCTCTGCTCGCTTGATGAATAAGCCGAGCTCGGGCTCACTTAAAGCTGTTTGGTTAAAGAGTCGAGCTCGACTCGGCTCGATAAGACACGAAAAGAGAATTTTCATATAATTTACTATAGTTTGGCTCGTTAAAGCTCGAGATCGGCTTGTTAAGGCTTGAACTTGGCTCATTATAAACGTGATAAACAAGCGGAGCTCGAGCTCGATTTTAGGCTCGTTTTACCAAATGAGCCGAGCTCAGCTTGGCTCGTTTACAGGCCTAAGTGGTACTTAAGGCTGGATTTTGAGGTGCCCATGTAAATTATCTTTTTTTTTATTATTTTTTAAATAAGTTTCTAAATAACTGTGAGGTACAAGGATCGAATCCTATATCAACCAGTCAAACACCTTTATGGTGAGAGGTACTACTTGAGCTACAACTAACCCTTCAAGTGGTGAAAAACTATAAAGGGAAACAAATATCAAAAAGGGGTATTCATCAGAAATTTAACTTTTGAAGGATAACTGTATGTTCTTCTTTGTACTTGCCATATTATCTGCAGATTGGAGTATAACTACACTCGAGAAATATGTATATGTTCTTCAACTGTAGAGTCGTCATACCATATGAAACGAAACTAACATAATATATGCCTTGTGCAGGAGAAGCTGCCCCCAACTGATTCAAGGCTTAGACCTGATCAACGATGCTTGGAAAATGGGGAGTATGAGAAAGCAAATTCCGAAAAGTTGCGCCTAGAACAGAGGCAGCGGCAGGTATCGATTAGTTTGGATCGAAATTTAATACTGTTATTACTGCAAAACTTGAAATTATTGCACACATAAACATGAAGTTTAAGCATTATCTTGTCCAGTTTGCTTAGAGATATGCCTCATGAACTTGAATGCCCGCTCACACTCTTATTAAAACGAAAAAGAAAATGAAAAATGGGTGTAAAATAAAAACTGTTCTTCTAGTGTTGTTTTGGGCAAAAATGCATTTTTATTCATGTTGGTATAACGTAACAGCAACTTTTGTATTAAGGTTCCAAATTTTCAGATTTTGGTTGAGGACTGAAATTATATTAAAATATTAATTTACAGGACTGAAATTGCAACAAAATTTTAAATTACAGAACTCAAATTGCTAATAAATATTTAGAAATTTGTTTTAATTTCAGTCCTCAAATGACTGAATTGCAGCAAAATATTAAATCACATGACCAAAAGGAAAAATGTTGGAACATTAGAACTAAAATATCGCTATGACATTAAACCAACAAGACTAAAAATGCAGCAATTTTGTGCTGGACTCTTTTATCAATTTATATGATTGCTAACTCTGGTTCGACTGAAATAGGCGAGATCGATGCAAGAGAGAGGATGGAAACCGAGATGGTTTGCAAAAGACGAAGGTTCAGATTCATACCGTTATATAGGTGGATATTGGGAAGCTAGAGAACAGGGCAACTGGGAATCTTGTCCCGACATTTTTGGTCAAGTTACTGCTGATCAAACTGCAACTGCAGATCGAGTATGATCAGCTTTTTTCTTTTGTAGTGCATTAGGAAATATTTGTGGAAAATCGGATGAATATGATGTTTGTAGGTTAGAGCCAATTACAAAGATTTTCCATTAAGTTCATATTCTTCAGAAATATTTGAGTTCTGCTACACATCTTTCGTTTACTGAATATAATAGATAAATCTCAACAATTGTCGTTGTTAGACTGTCTAATTGTTAGGCAATCATTTGGTCGTTTGTAAATGATATTCGATGGTATTTGGATAATTTTGCGGCCAACAATATTAGTCACAGACTCGCCTCGCAATTAGATTGTCTAATTGTTAGTCGGTCATTTATTAATTTGTAACTGATATGCGAACCTCTTCTAGCCTTCTAGGATTTGTTTTGTTAGTGTAATGGAAAAATATTAATGCAAATGGCCTATAAAGAAAAATGAAATAAAGATTTTTTGTTTTTAAGAAATAGTGAGATTATACATATACAATCATTTATACTATTAGTCTTTAAATAAAATAGAAAATTCACACTTCAAACGATGCCTAGTAAAATATTAATGCAAATTGCCTATAAAAAAATGAAATGAAAGATTGTGTTTTAAAAGAAATAGTGAGACTATAAATATATAATCATTTATACTATTAGTCAACTTTAAATAAAATAGAAGATTCACACTTGAATAATAAAAAAAATTAAACATTTATTTAATAATAATGGTAAATATATTAGAAATAAAATAAAAACATTTAATTTAATAATAATGGTAAATATATTAGAAATAAAATAAAAACATTAATTTAATAATAATGGTATGCTCATTTTCTTCTTGGGTGTTAATACAGACACAGTGGTTTCTGTGGCCATCATCTAGACATAGTTGTGTTTTCTTGTTCATCACTTCCAAACTCAAAATTCACTCCCTTTGTTAACTTCTTGATAAGCTTTTTACTGCTCGTTAAATTTTAAATATATTATAAAAGTCACTCTTGAAATTATAACAAATAAAACGAAAACATTTATTTAATAATAAGCATACACAAAAATAATAAGTTTATGTTTATATAATTTTATAATGACTAACTTCTGAAGAGATTATTATTCTTTGGATATGTGTGCAGGATAAACCATCAATCATTGGCACCAATTTATTTGTCCTTGTTTACCTACCAAATTTTAAAAATATAGATCAATTACTAATACTTAGTTTTTATTTCCTAGAAAATCCTAATATATTTACAAGTCTATTCTGAACATGGTTCAAGACGATAGCCTTACTGGTCCCCATGGGAGCATCTTAAGGAGCATAGTCCATGGGTCATTCATCTTTGTCATATCCATCGTGAAGCCAATTTCGTGGCAGACTATCTGGCGTCACTTGCGGCTAAGAGTCCGGGGAGCTTGACTAGATTGGATAGCCCGCCGCCGGGCACGGGTATTTGGCTCCAACATGATTTGGCGGGTGTGTCTTATCCCCGTCCGGTTTTAACTTAGGCTAGCGTTAGCCTCCTTCTCTTGTACCGAAAAAAAAAAATCCTCATATGTTTAATAAAAAAACAATTTTACCATAAACTGTGTTAATAATTAGATATTTCGATATGTCTTACATTTTAAATAAAAATACATAATTATCCCGTTTTACTTATATTTAAATTAATGTTTTGGAACACAGTATTCAAGTTTGTAGTACGTGTTTATTTTAAAAAATACAAAATTATCTAGTCAAGTAATCATATTACAATTTGGATACAAGGTAGGCAATTGACCTTTGGCATCGGTCAAATGGGATATGGGCGGGTAGGGGCGAACAACAATGTAGTTCGGTAAAAAATCGCATTGAACTGTAAAAAACCGAAAACTGAATTTGACAAAAAAATAACCGAATCGCACCGTAATTTTTAGAAAAAAAAAACTAAATCGAAATTTTTATACACTAAAATAACCGAACCGAATCGCACCGCACCGCACCACATCGAACCGAAATGCACGGTTTGGTACAGTTTTTCGGTTGTATCTCAATTTTTATGTACAATGTAAATTAGGGATTAGGTTTGAGATTCTCTCTCGCATCTCGCTCTCGCACAGGCACACCCGCACCTTCCCTACTCACTCCGTCACTCAGTCGCATCTCTCTCACAGTCACTCTCTCCGGCCGTCCGGCGTATTCAGCCTCTCGGCACAGTACACACTCGCGAATCCAGGTCCGAATCCTGCCCAACCTGTCCCATTACCATCCTTAGCTTGACCCGGTTATCGGAAACCCATTTAACCCAAAAAATCCTAACCTATAATCTTGTTCAATTCGGATTCACAGGTTATGGCTGCGCGTTAACTTGCTCCTCGACCACCACCACTGAACAGCTCCATTTTCTTTTGGAAAGACGGCGTCGGACTTACTCCGGCAGTGAAATTGCAGAAGCTATGAAGCTCACTCTTGAATTTGGGTAAATTTTTTTTTCCTCATTTTTTTTTTTTTATTAAAAAATCTAATTCCCTCGATTGAACGAGTGGCAGTTCATGAAGCCAACTTTGTTGAAGAAATTTCAGAAGGACAGACAATATATATATTCACGGTTTTGGGTTTTTGTAAAGAATCTGACTTGGGCTGATTAGCGCATGAATTTTGATTTTGTTTGTGTGATTTGATAGCTCTAATGGCGGATCCTTATGTGTTTTTTTTCCTGATCGAGTAAAATGAGCAATCTTGGTTCACTATATTTGGCACTTGTTTGATTTCTGCAGCCTTCAAGTGGTTGTTAGGGCTTTAAATTATCCATTTTATAGAGTTTATCCAGAAAAAAAAAAAAAAAA